AAAATGCAATGAAATTTCTTTCAAGGTTCTATTTGTTTGAAATTGGCAGTTTAAAATGGCAATAAAAACCCAATTTTAAATATAAAAAACTTAACTGTCTTGAAATATTTTGTCGGGCGGTACATTTATATTGTATAACAAAATATAAAAAAAAATCGCGCGGCTCTTAAAATACAGTCGGGTGGTGATGAGAATCAAGGAATTTATTTTATGTGGCCTTAAAGGTGCTATGCATTGTGCCACCCTTTGAAGAATGTGATTCAGTAGTGTCGGCAAACTTAGAAAAGTTCAAACTTTTTCAATTTTGAAAGGTGTATCAATCATATATTATAAAGACTATTATAGCTTTACTTAGGTACAACAATATGCAATCTCAGAAAAACGGCTTTTTATTCGAATAGGTATAATTTTGTCGCACAAAATCACTTTCGTCAAAGGGTGACTAGTAACATTGCCTTTAGAGTTGCTATCTGAAAGAACTGGCCCCCGATAATGGATATATTACAGTAATATGATGCAGAAGTAATCAAAATTGTCACTTTTTACAATATCCATTAATCCACCGCGTACATCCAAATAAACCCCTTGCCCTTTGGAAATCCCAAATTCTATTTTTGTTCCTCTGAAATTGTCTCAAAGAATGCAAATTACTTCCGCCAAGCATGGTTTCCCGCCAAAATATAAACTAGAATTGTTTGTTATTGTTTGCCGTTTTTCTCTCGAGTTTATAACAAAATGGCAGCCAGTTTTAAGGTTCCACAGTTGACTATTTCTAAGGTAAAACAAACGACAAATCTACCCAAATTTGATTGGAAACGATTCACCAAAGAAAAGAAGCTGGGAAGTGGCGGTTTTGGGAAAGTTTACCTCGGAAAATATGAAGGAGAAATCGAAAAAGTCGTCGTTAAGAAGATGAAAGGTGAAAACTACGACGCAAAGTCACGTTTTATTAAAGAGGCAAAACTTTTAAACGTAACGCAGGGCCACAGAAATATAGTGAAATTTTTAGGGTTTTGTGAAGAGCCGGGCTCTATATTGATGGGATACGCGTGTTTTGACTTTGGCCCGTTTGATATAGAAAAACGTGTCAGCACTTTGTCGAACTTTCTTCACCTCGTCGATGACGATTTTGACTTTACATCATTTGCAGAACTGTTGCCAGTATGTGCTAAGGATATAATAACCGGTTTGGAGTATCTCCATAATAAGAACATTGCCCATAGAGATCTTAAACCAGCTAACATCTTAGTCTGTAACCAACATTACAGTAACCCGTGCCTTATAAAAACTGATTTCAAAACTGCCTACGCCGACTGCCCAATTGTTTGTAAGCTGGCAGATTTTGGTCTGAGTAGATCTCTTGAACTACAAACCAAGACAGTTTTGATGTCCAAAACGCAATGCATAGGTCGTGGTACTCTCGAATACATGGCACCTGAGATTCACTCTGCCAAAACAATCTAGTGTAAACCAGGACGATCTGAAGAAATCAGACATATGGTCACTGGGTATCGTGATGCATCAAATGGTAAACCCAAATGTCTTTGGACCTTATCATAATGAACTTGAACATGCAGGTTTGTACATGTGGAAAATCATACGAATTGTTGTAATATGATTTGTCAGCTTGTACTGTACTGTAATAGATCATGGATGACGTCATAGCGTGAAAAAAAACTAAAAAGTACGGCACGAGACGAAAAAGAGTGCTATGACTTTTTGGTCTTTTCACGCAATGGCGCCTTCCGTGATCTATTACAGTACATACGCACGGCAAAATGAAATCTATATACATCAAAAGTGCTCTGAAAAGTTATGTTTGGTTGTTGTGTGACGTATCCGTGATGTATACTCTAATAGCGCACGCACAATAACCTATGAAATTGCTTCATTTATATCAATTATTGTATAAATATATTTATAAGCGATTTAAATGAAGCCATTTCTTTGGTTCTTGTGCGCGCGCTATTAGAGTATACATCACGGATGACGTCACATAACAACAGAACATAACTTTTCAGAGCACTTTTGATGTACCTTATGAAACTTTAGGAAATATAGCTTACGGCCTTTAAGTTATGAAATGTAGTACCAAAACTTCAAAATTCAGTGGCTTAGTTTCTTTGTAATGGTTTTTTATTGAGGGTAAAACGTGTACTGCAGTAGATGTTTTCCTATTATTGTGTCATTAGCACGCGGGAACTAAAGGGGATTGGTACGAGTATTAACACTACATGCTATAATAAGAGTTTCTGATTCAATCGGTTTTAAAAATAAAGGATTTGGATTTTCTTGACATTCCATAAGGCCAACACAAGATGCCTAGCCGGCTAGCCTCAGGCCTTAAAATATCGATCGGTCACGGATATTGTCCGACCCATTTGTGAAATTGTCCGACATAGAGAGGAAACCACCGGACATTCTGTCCAACCAAAGTGAAACTGAGATTTATTGTTTGTCCGACCCGAGTGTATTGGTGTCTGACCGAACTGTAGCTTTGTCCGACGTAAATCAAAATGTACCCTAGCCCAGGACTCGAGTCTTGCATGTTAAATGGGAAATCAGAGTACTATTGTATAAAAGGTGAACTGGAAATGTTGTTTTAACGTAGTCGAGCGTGGGGCGGCGAGCGAAATGGTGAAGTGGAAAACAGGCTTAAGTTGTCGAAGTCTGTTTTAATACTGCTGTTCTGGAAAGCAAGTTAATTTTGGCTTGGAAATAAGTATGAAAGAAACAAATTATTTAATATCTTTACAATATTTCCCGTTTATTCATAATTCATTTGTGTCATTCAGATTTATTTCCGAGTCAAAACTGAACTGAAGGTCATCGGACATATGTCCGACCCAAACTCAACGTCACTGGACATTTTGTCAGACGGCCCTGTAAAAGATATTTTAAGGCCTGTAGCCGGCTCGCAGACACTAATATTATCATGTTGCCGCTAGCTGACTACAAAATGCTAAAAATTGACTGTTATACACATCGGGCCTACAGTAGCAGTGTTTGTTAAACACAGAGCGGTAAGATTAACAAATTGGAAAATTTTACTATTATAAATATATATAGTGACGGATGATGTTTTTAAAGACTTGATGAAGCGCCAAGTTATGCCGCATCACGACCCAAAATATGAAGGACTGCGAAATACCCAATGGAGTACAATTGACGATATCTTCAAGTCGTGCTGTAAATTCGAACCAAACAGCAGACCGACAGCCACGCAGATACTAACTTCACTCATAAAAAAAGAACCGGACCAGCTAAGGTCTGCCACCATAACCAAAGAAGGTATAACACTCGTCTTTTTCTTGACAACATTCGTATAGTAACAAACGCGGCATAAGGGCACAACAATGGCCCCAGACATTTAGTTTACCACATACTTTTCTTCATTGTAATACAGTTTACATCGTTATTTTTTACAATAGGAAATGCCATCGCCGGGCAAATGAAGGTCACCGATAAGCCTTCCGTTGACTTAACAGCAATGGTAAGTTACCAAAAACCAATCCACTGATTAACCGTCAAACGCCTAATCACATGGCCGTATGTAATCAGGAAATCAGGCAAATACATCAATATTTTCCAATAAATTATGGTGAAAAATTAACGAAAACCATTAAATAGTGGCAAATACTTATATACTTCCTACAATTTAATAAGATCCTCACACGAAATTTCTGACTAGTTTTCACGGATAGAATAGTTGGGCGACAAAGCGAAAGCAGAAACAGAAAGTTTAGAACGGTCAGTTCTTAACAATTAAACAAAACCTTTTTCGATATTGTGGGGATCATGCAGGCAAAAATAAATATATCTTAATAAAATACATTTACAGAATTTAAATGAAAACGAAGATGAAAATAATCGGTCATCTGAAAAGCGAAAGGACTCCAGTCAGGGAATCGTAGATGCAGGTATACTATGGCTGTACAGCTGTACTAATGCATATAGTAATGGTACGCACCAAAATTTATCCTTGAAATGGCCACATATCGAACTAAGTAACGTAAAAATTAATATAATATAGTGTATGAAATTTTTATCTTATTTTACATCAGGAATTGTGAAGAGACAAAGGCTGGCGACCAAAGTCAATGCAATCGACTTGACTAAACCCAAAACGGTACGCTGTTCCAAAGCAATCGTAGAGTGAAAATAAAGTTAAACTCTAAACAAATCTATTTTAACATTTATAGAACTTATGTAGAAGCAACGAAAGTGTTCCATCATCTGAAAAGCGGGAGATCTTCAGCGTTGGAATTGACAATGAAAGTACAATAAATAACATGTACCAATTTAACTCGAGTATGGGTGGGTGTATATGATGGGTGAATATGATGTTGTGAGTTATGTAGCCAATGGTTGAAATCTTACTTTCTTTATATAAGAAATCGCAAAAAGAAAAAGGATGGCAACCAAAAGCACTTCGATCGCTCAAACAGAAACGGACCAGCTAAGGTCTTCCACCATAACCAAAGAAAGTATAACAGTCGTCTTTTTCTTGACAACATTCCTATAGTAACAAACGCATATATTAAGGGCACAACACTGGCCCCAGAAATCTATAGTTTTCCACTAACCTTTCTTCATTGTAATATTACATCGTTATTTTTACAATAGGAAATGCCATCGGGCAAATGAAGGTCACCGATAAGCCTTCTGTTGACTTAACAGATTTCAGTGACAACGATTGTACAACCATCAAACGCCAAAGGGAAAGTAAAAACAACAATTTTAGAATGGCAAGTTAAAACTATTTATTAGTTGACTACCAATTTTTTTAAGTAGGCCTGTAATTTAAAAAAATAAATTTTAGTCACCTACTGCATTTATAGGATATGAATAGAAGCGAAGAAAGTGATCAGTCATTACAAATACAAGGTGACAGTCTTAGAAACGACAGTGAAGGTATGCATATAACTTCAATCGTTCATTCGTTCGGTTTTGTCCCTTACATACAGCTGTGATTCGTACATTCATTGTAATATTACATCGTTATTTTTTTACAATAGGAAATGCCATCGGGCAAATGAAGGTCACCGATAAGCCTTCTGTTGACAAAACAGATTTCAATAACAGCGATTGTACAACCATCAAACGCCAAAGGGAAACTAAAAACAACAATTTTAGAATGGCAAGTTAAAACTATTTATTAGTTGACTACCAATTTTTGTAAGTAGGCCTGTAATTTAAAAAAATAAATTTTAATCACCTACTGTAGTTATAGGATATGAGTAGAAGCGAAGAAAGTGTTCAGTCATTACAAATACTAGATGACAGTCTTAGAAACGACAGTAAAGGTATGCATATATAACTTCAATCGTTCATTCGTTCGGTTCCGCTGTCCCATACATGCAGCTGTGATTCGTACAGAAAAATCAGTGGCGGATCGATGTTTGTACTAATCGAAAAATCTGTCCATTATGTTTCGAAACACACTGACAGGTATCAATAAATTATTCTATAGAAAATGATCTTGAAAGTATCGCCGAACTGTACGATGAAAGCTTAGAGTCCATACATAACGATGAAATTCGCCTGTATAAAGGTGACCGAGCTCTGCCAGTATACCGTTGGGGTCTGACAAAAGGCATGTGTACAGATGATGTTGCTGAACTTTTAGTAAATCGTTGTATAGACCGCTCTCGAATTGCTACGCGCGGTCCAACAAGTGTCGAAAATAACGCCGTTTTTGTAGTGGACACATCGAAGATCCCAGAAAAAGATGATCTGAAATGTGATGACCTAGGTGCATGGGAATGCAAAGGCTCAAAGAAGTTGTTTTACAGTATGGGCGGGGATGGAAAACTTGCCAAATTAGCAAAGGATAAACTACCGGATGAACAAGTCCGTGTTTTTGTCATCCAACGGCAGTGGTACAGAAATTTAAGCATGGATTCGCTTCAAAGAGTAATAATTACAGCTCGTGAATCCGCTTCAACGATTCCAAAAGATCTGGTATTCATTCAATACATATTCAACAACGGCGAACAACCCGTCAAAGTAAACTTACATGGAAATGCTAAAAGTACAAGGTGTCGTGCGTACCAAAGAACGATGCAGAGCACAAAAAAAATGATAAAGGAGAACATTGGAACATTGCCAGCTCGTTCAACAGTGCATAAAGTGATCAATGAAAGGGGGGGAATAATGAAAATCGGATCATCTGGAGCATTACCGCGTAATAGGACACAGGTTTACAACATCACAAGAGAAGTAAAGAAGCAAAAAGAACCCCTAACGCACATATATAGAAGATCCAATGCTGCAAGTTTTAGCAAAAGCCAAAGAGGAACAACAAGGACGTGATGAAGATATTTTTATTCGTGAAATACCTCTTTTCCCTGAGCCAATCGTCTTTACTGCCAACAAGCAGCAGTTGGTTGATATTGAACGTTTTTGCACGAATCCTGAGAAGTTTTGCGTATTAGGCGTAGATGCGACATTCCAAATTGCCTCCTTTTACTTCACCTTTACGACCTACAGAAATTTGATGCTAACTACGAAGAATGGTAATCATCCAGTGTGTATTGGTCCTGGCATCCTTCACAAGCAGAAGCTTAAAATATCGTATCAAACGTTGCCTTTACTGATGACAAAATACCACCAGAAGGTTGCAGGCGTGCTGGTTTATGGAACAGATGGAGAAAAAAATCTTGCAGACGCCTTTTCAGACGTATTTCCACATGCACAACATCTTTGCTGCGACATTCATCTGAAGGACAACATAAAAAGGAAACTTGTCCAGTGTGGTATAACAGGTCGCCCAGCGACAGAAATCATGAATGATATCTTTGGAAACGAAATAGGAGATCAAGTAGAAGGAGGATTAATTCATACCACGTCCGCTGAGGAATTCGACGCTTGCTTACAATCTGCTGTGTGCAAGTGGACAACTTTGCACGAAGATGGTGAAAAGTTCGTGGATTACTTTCTGAAATCCAAAGCAAATATCATTCGTGAATCTGCCAGGTCAGATATAAGATCGATGTGTGGACTTGGCTACCCACCTACGCTGTACACACAAAACGCAAATGAGTGCATGAATCGGATCATAAAGATAGACCAAGATCCAAAGTCTTCGAAGCATCAGACTGCTCTTTTGCCATACATCGAAAGAATTCGGGCAGAAGTGGCACGACAACATGACGAGCAATTCTTGGCTGTTCTGGGACTTGGCCAGTATCGCCTTAGTGACACGTTCTCTTTCCTACGCGTGGAAGAAAAGAATTTCTTTCGCATGAACGACTCCCAGAAGAAAGCATTAAAGAAAAAATTCTTTACTGCGCCCGTTTCCGAGCCTAGACAACGCGAAGAACAAGCATTGAATGGCGAGTTATCGGTATTAGCTGAGAGGTCTGGAATTATTAGTATTCCTTTTCCAGCACTTGATGCCATGTTGACAAATGCTGCAGCCTATGTACGCGATGGAGATGAAACTTGGAAAGTTCCAGCTGACGAGGACAACCACGGTTCATCTGAAACGTACATGGTTCATAGCAGACGCAACTCCAATCCACATAAAGTTGTTTGGACGAAGAAGACCCATCGCGTACAATGCGATAAAGCTTGTATCAACTGGTCCACCTACACTCTGTGCTCACACTGCCTAACCGTAGCTGAAATAAATGGCATTCTGAAAGAATTTCTTCAGTGGTTTAAGAACAGAAAGCGGACCGCCCCAAACCTGACTGCGTTAATTAATGTCAACATGCCCCAAAACGCGGGTGAAAAACCTATATCGAAAAATCGCAAAGGAAGAGCAAACAAAGCACCTTTTGTTGGAAAAAAAGTTGCCTCTCATAGGATCACTCCGCAGAATATGGTCAATATTTCAACTCATTTCTCCCATCAGTCAGCCTGCACTCAGCAGTTCCAACCCACACAGTCCACCCAAACTTGTGCTCGACAGCTTCAACAAACTCAATCCCCTCAGTCCACCCAACTTTGCACTCAACAGTTCCAACCTACCCAGTCTCTTCAGTTCACGGTACATCCCACTCAGCAGCTACAACCAACTCAATTCCTTCAGTCTACCCAACCTCGTACTCAACAGCTCCAACCTACCCAATCCCCCAGGTCCATTCAACCTCAGATCCACCAGCTCCAACTTATTCAGCCATATTTTCAGCAATCCCAACTCCACCAACTTTATCAGACAGCTCAACCTCCTTCAGACTCGAATACACCTTCCCGACCCAAACCTCCTCCTGGAGTATTTGCATTTGGTCGGTTATCATTCCTCGACAAGAAAGTTTCGATATGTTATGGCTGTCAAGAATCGTTAAAACCAGGAGGTAATATACCATACCCGCCTGAAGACATCGTGGTTACAACAAGGCTGTGTCGCAGATACTACGATAAAGAGGGCCAACCCAAAGTATCACCCAAAATTTCATCCGTATATTTCCACCTTAACCCTAATTGTGTGGGTGCCGCTTGTCCACAATTTGAGACCAAGTCTTGTATTGTCCCAACCGACCTAATTCCATTCATGTTCGTGCAGCATTCCAACGCACTGAGTCAGCGATTTGGTTTATCTGCAGGTGCAAGAATATTACAAGATATTGACTAATATCGATGATAGAGCATCAATTTTCTATATTTTAGAAGGTACACTTGTTTAGTTATTCAGTCTAATATTTCATGACTGATTGAAAGTTGAGTTGGAATGTTTGGTTGGTGTTTACATATATCTAACATATGTTCTGTCACCTTATTATACATTAAAATTGACAGAATCAGTTGCAGTTTAGTTTGTTTGAGTGATATTCTACCATATTCTCTCTATTTAGCCCCGCCCTCCCTCACAAATAAATCCCGGCCCTTTCTAATAAGCCCCCTTTTAGATGAAGATTTTTATTAAGCTCCCCCTCTCTTTATTAAGCCCTGCCCCCGGTTAATAGAAAATATGTAGTTAACACATCATACATGTTATGAACATCTTAAAACATATATATAGCCGAATAGTTGAAAAATGTATTGTTGAACACCCCATTAATTGAAACGCTTGTGTTAAAATTGTTATAATACATAGTCGTTTTACACACAAATTTTTTGTGCTGAAAGAAAATTATTATACAATTTTACCAAGAGACTAAGCCCTACTCTCAAATAAGCC